ACATTCCATTTGTATCTTGCCAAAAACATTTATTCTCTTCTTATATTTTTCCATGCTTTTCTAATGTAAAACATGTTCTATAATATTTTACCGCCTCTAACCAAGGGAAAGCGTACGTAGGTTACATCTTTCTTATTCAATTTCATATTTTTCATCGCAACATCTAAGGTTTTAGCTCTTCGTGTTTTTGTAAGAAGGGGGCGAAGAGGAATTTTAGTGCCGTGAATCGTCATAGATTGGGATCACTAAGTTCGGGTTTTTAAAACGAGTGTTGCTACAGTGACCCAAAATATGAGACCATTGGAGGGGACATGTGAGATGTCCCCCTCCTATTTGCATAATGAGCTGGCATGACCAGCTTATTTTGCAATATGGAGGGGACACCTCACATGTCCCTTCTCTTGGTCCTATATTTTGGGCCCTTAAACCATTTTTCTTTTAAAATTTGTTTGAGCAGGGGTAGATTTTTGTTGAATTGGAGTAAATTGGTGTTGAATTGTGTAATAAATTGGATGGAGAAGTGGAGGTGTTGTTGTGTCCGAAGGGTTGAGTAAAGATAGGAACACTGACGCTCCCTAGACCTTCAGTTAGCGAGGACGATGAGTATTTGGCCTTACAAAAACCATCCCTGACGTTTTCTTCGAGGTACAATTTCTTTGTTTTATATTTTGTTCTGAGTAGTAGAATTAGAGAGCTAAGACCTATGCTTTTGCTGTTAGATAATTGCTTTAATTTTAATCTGTCATTTGTTGGTTTAAACTATTATTTTGTTGAAAAAAAAAATTAATGTTAGCTAGTCTCTGTTTTATTATTTTTAAATTTTAGTGTAGTATTTTCTTCCTATATATTGATAATTAATAAGTGAAATGACAACATGCTTCTAGAAAACTCAGTTTAGTCAGTCAACCACTCGGCGCAAGCCCTCGACAAGCGTGTTGTATTCAATTGACTGCTTTAATAAGTTCACATTAAATTGAATCATCCCTATCATTCTTCGCTACCAATTTTTTTATCTAATTTGATTATAAACATGTTTTATATATACTTTGAAAAATTGTTAGAGACTAGAACGGTATCAAGTAATGTCAAGTTTCTTTGAGATATTCCAAGTTTTCGTCCTAGTCCATACAGATATACAAGCATTCTACGTTTTATCTTGCAATATTCAACAAATTTTATGTTTTGGCTACCTCATATTAATTAATTAATATAGCTAGGAGAGCATGAAATCTTGGAAAATATACATGGACGCCTCACGCCTATATTGGTTGATGTGACTCCCATATAAGGTAAAGATTGTTTCTTCTAAGGAATCTAAGCCTTAATATTTGTTGTTTATTTAGGAAATATGAATTTTACATTACCCTTTATTTGTTTTCTTCCATGATGAGACATACGATGATACGTGAATACACATGCAAATATTTCTTTTTTGTTGCTGCCTTATGCTTTAATTGTCATCAGCAGCCCATGTGAAGCAATTATTTTTAAATTTGGATAAAAGAACGGCCCCCATTTATTATTATAATATTTTCTCAGAAGAATTATTTGAATAAAATCTTGCGGCGTTTTAACATGCAAGATTGTAAGTCAATTTCTACCCCCACTTCCTGTTAATTTCAAGTTATCCTCTAGTATGAGTCCTAGCAGTGAAGAAGAGAGGATGGAGATGTCTCGAGTGCCGTATGCATCAGCGATGGGAAGTTTAATGTTCGCGATGATTTGTATAAGACCAGACATTGCACAAGCAGTGTGAGTGGTTAGTCGATACATGGTGAATCCTGGTAAAGAGCATTGGAATGCTGTAAAGAGGGTTCTAAGATACATTAAGGGAACCTCAAATGTTGTATTATATTATGGGAGATCTGATTTTATTATCAGTGGATATGTTGATTCTGATTATGCAGGTGATCGTGATAATAGTAAATCCACAACAGGCTATGTGTTTGCACTTGCTGGCGGAGCTGTAAGCTGAGTTTCAAAACTACAGTCAGTTGTGGCTATTTAACAACAAAAACAGAATATGTAGCAGCTACACAAGCTAGTAAAGAGGCGATGTGGTTGAATATGGTGCTGGAGGAACTCGGCTATGAACAAAAGAAGATTTCTTTATTTTGTGACAGTCGGAGTGTTTTGCATTTGGTAAGAAATCCAGCATTTCATTCAAAGACCAAACACATTCAAGTTTAGTACTACTTCGTTCGTGAGAAAGTGGAAGAAGGAATAATGGATATGCAGAAAATTCACACCAAAGACAACGTAGCAGATTTTTTAACAAAAGCAGTTCATACCGACAAATTTATTTGGTGTCGATCCTCTTGTGGTCTGACGGAGACGTAAGCAACATGAAGATGGCAAGATAGAAAAAATAGTGTGAAGATATGATTGATACTCAATCAAATCTTCAAGTGGGAGATTGTCAGCAGCAACCCATGTTAAGCAATTATTTTTGACTTTGGATAAAAGAGCGGGCCCCACTTTATTATTATAATATAAATATATAGTGAAATATTAATATTTTATTGTGTATAGTGTTTTTCAAAACACTATAAATAGGCTCCAAATCCTTAAGAAAAATTCATCCCAGAAACAACTTCTCTTATAGAAGAGAGAGAGAAAAAATAGAGAGAAAGTATCTCCTTGCAAAGAGAGATTGTAACTCCAGAGTTTTCTTCTCATAGTGGATTCTTCTATTCTTGCCCGTGGACGTAGGCAATCAAGTGCCGAACCACGTAAATCTGTGTGTCCAACTTTTTATCTCTACTTTTGCTCTACTATTGCCGCGATCTTGCTCTATTAGGCCCCGGGTTTGTCCCAACATTAATTACTGCCCACGAGTTAATTATTGTCATTTGACAGTTACAATCGAGTGTTATGAAAAATATACATTAGTATAAAGTGATAGATATATTATTGCGATGTATAAAGTTGCTTTTTTGGTGATACATGCATCTCCATCCAAAGATACTATGAATCTTAATGTTTCTACAAGCACAGGGTAGCCTACCGCAAATGTTATTTATGTCAAAGAGGTTTCATGTGAGAGAGACTAATGAAATGAGACCAGATCGAACAAGGTGAATTTCATGAGTTTCCTATATATATTTTGTATCTACGTACAAAAAGGCAGGAGAACCTGAAGGGTTAGCTGAAGTAGGTAACGGTGATCGAAAAGATAGCTAACAAAAAGATTATGAAGGCTAACATAATAGAGACTTAATTAACCAAGAAGATGCATACTAAGTCCCGAGGAAGCATATTGCTCTCCATTTAAATTCCAAAAGGAGGGGAGATCGCATCAAATTAATGTTCTCCATTCAAGCCAATACACCGTCAAGTTTGCCTGGACTTTTTGATTGTTGAAGTTGACTAATATGGCTAAAAACCCAAATATTCAAGCCAATACACCGTCAAGTTTGCCTGGACTTTTTGATTGTTGAAGTTGACTAATATGGCTACTCGGCCAATTTGATGTTGGCCTTAATCTTGCTGACAAATTAATCGTTCATGCTGATGTAGAATTAGTGAAGCTGGTCGTGGGATTTTGGTAATATGTGCAGTATATTATGATTGTCTGATTGAAGTATTGTAATCTACTATACTTCAGGTTCTTAATTGTTGTAGCCGACTCACTGATCCTTGCCTAATGTTGAGAGCTCCAAAGGAGTTTTGTTTGTAACACGTAACATATTTTTTTTAAAGTTAACTAAGATTGTGATATTTTTAAAGTTAACTAAGATTGTGATATTAATGTTTCTGTTGTATTATTTTATTTCATTATTATCTAACTAGCATTTTAGTCTGTACTAAACGTGATTTTACCTCGCAGCTTCCATCTTTAGATTAGTAAAAGAAAACCGTTAAAAATGTATTTTTCCTCTTTCCATATCTATCTTAATTATAGTCATTTAGCCCATTCCATGCACAGCCGTACCTTCCATTTTCCACACCTCAATTTTGAAAATATTATTAAAAACAAATTTGCTTTTTCCAATACATCTCTTTTATTTGTATAATTATCATATTGATATCATTATAAGGACAAAGCAAAAATTCTTGCGAATTTTGTTAACTAACCGTAATACAAGTGTCCACACATTTGGAAATTAAAAATTATAAATTTACTTGAATCATTCGTAAATTTTCTTATCAATTATAATAAATATTATTGATATTACTTTAAAGGGTTATTTGCATATGTACCTAAAACCAACAAATCATTAACTTGGTGCTAAAATTTTGACTGTTTTGTTGATAATATTTACATTACGTTTACAAATTAGTCTATCAAAATTGATGATTGATCGCTTTGAGGGTGATTTGAGGGGTAGTTTGTTCACCTGCCCGATATAATTTTCAAATTAGCATCTAAATGGAGCTCTAGCTAAAGTCTGCATCGGCCGCAACCATTACAGAACAACCTTTAATCGTAGATTCAAAAGAAATGAGCACCATCTTAATTATTTATGCTGAAAAGCTGACATTTCATCTATTGAAATTAAAAAAAAAACAAAAAACCCGAAATATTTCACAAGGGAGGAAAACAGATTGCTCTTTTAATAGCTGAAATTTGCTCAGAAGTCCTGCATTCCCATGACTCTATACGTGCTCATTAATAGTCTGCGTTTTGTTTTTCTCAGTTTACGCGCAGAAGATTAATTTCCGGGGGATTCAATCTCGGTTTGTATTCGTGCGTGTCCCCTGGTCGAGATGAATTAATGTTCGCTTCTGATAGACGAAATTAGTAAGCAGATCGATCTTAAAACAAGATCAGTGTTTTCTTTTGTTGAAGGCTTAGACGAAGTGGCGGGTGGGGGGATCAAACCGAATGAGGATACGCTACGCTTTTTGTTCGGATGTGGGTAGGAATATTCAATCTTCCTCCCTACTGTCTTTCTTTCAGTCTCAGATGTGTGCAGCAACAGTGCATAATTGAGGCATGCGCGCGCGTAAATACATATATCAGGATCCATACAAGCGGATGGCTCCTCGGGTCTAAATTAAGAAGCATGCGAAAAACTCAAACTCATGCGATGCAATAGAGCTCCTGATTCATACGTTAAACTCATTTTACAACTTGTTTCCACTGTGCAACTGTCTCCAGCTAGCATATTTCTCTCTGATTACTATTAGAACAGCATCTTACATTGCTATATAGCTCGCTGCATCCTGCCGCTTCAGATTGTTTCGAATCTCAGCTCCCTAATACAAACATTCTCCAGATAAAGCTTAAATTGAATACAAAAAAGGTACCTCCATTGAGGCCGGAGGTCTTGATCTACAGGATGAGGAAGGATGTCCATTTCCAGCACCTAGGAACTTTCCTCGTCTTCACCTTCTTCATCTCCCTCTAAAATGTCAAAAGAAAAATGAGAAGCTTTTTAGACCTTTGTTTGCCTCATGTGCTACGATAGTGGTAGCGATACGTTTCATCACAATCGGGCATTAATACACAAATGAAAAGTGCAGATTACAACCCAGCAATCATTGCTTGTGCAATACGTTGAGCACGTTGATGGTTCTAGACATGCATATCCGATATTACAATACCGAATTTGGTGCACAAGAAACACCTTTCTTACTATTAATGCCAAATTGTTTTTTTTTAATCGCGCCTTTGGCACACATGGGAGTCAAACCTAGGCCCCCACGAGGGAGCGACACGGATTTGCCACGTGACCTACAAGGCCGCCCATTAATACCAAATTGTTAACATGCTGTTGATGTTGGGAATTTAACGCTGAAACCCCTAATGCAACGGAAACGCAGAATAGAAAAAATACACCAAGTTTTAACGAGGTTCGGCAACTGCCTACGTCCTCGGGAGCCACACAGATAATTTCTTATTAATCTAACAAGAAATTACAAATTTAAGAGCAAATCCCTAAACTGAGATTTCTCAACTGAAACACTGTAGCTACAGTGTTAATAATTAAAGGGAATAAACCCCTTTCAAGTCTCACTTGAGATTAAATAAAACCCCTCTTTAATACTCTCTCTCCTTAATCCTTTTCTTAAACTCCCCTCAAACAATTGAGAGCTGGAGTTAAATGACGAAAAGAAAAATCGCTGCTGCGATTTGGGTCCGACGCCGCCGCTGAAGAAATCCACGCGAGGGAGAGAGATCGGAGGAGAGAAGCCAAAATCGCTGCTGCGATTTTTGTGCCGCCGCCAGAAGAATAAAGTCGGAGGGGGGATAAATCTTCGGCTTGATAAAAAACCCTAGGGCAGATGGAGGTTTCTTATATAGGGGAAGATGACAGGCTGGCGACAACCTGTCGCCAGCGTCGAAGGGTGCGTTCGTCGGGGTCGCGTTCGTCGAGGGGTGCGTTCGTCGAAGATCGCGTTCGTCGAGGGGTGCGTTCGCCTGCGTCATCTGGAGCTCGTCGGAGCTCCTCGCCGGCGGAGGTTGGTTTCCACCCCCAAATCTAACAATCTCCCACTTGGAGACCAAACCGACGCCAACATGCTATCTCATCAAGCTTCTCTCCTGTGTGGCTCCGCCTTCATCATCTATGCATGAAGGCCAACTGAAGTTGCGCACAACTCCAGTTTCTGAACTGTCACCGTCTTTGTTAACATGTCTGCTGGATTCTTACTTCCTGGAATCTTTTCCAGTTTCAACACGTCATCTTCCAACAGGGATCTGATGAAGTGGTACCGAAGCGCAATATGCTTCGTTCTGGAATGAAATGCTGAATTCTTCGCCAAGTGTATCGCACTCTGACTATCACTGTGCAAAACATTCTTCTCCTGTTTGAATCCCAGCTCTGTCAACAAACCCTGAAGCCATATCATCTCTTTACTGGCTTCAGTCACTGCAACATACTCAGCTTCTGTAGTGGATAGGGTAACGATCTTCTGTACCTGTGACATCCAACTAACAACTGTAGTTCCGACGGTGAATACATAGCCGGTGGTGCTTCTTCGATGATCAACTTCACCGCCGAAGTCTGCATCTACGTACCCTTGCACTTCTACCTCTCCCTTACCAAAGTGCAAACACTTCTGTGTGGTGCCTCGTAGATATCTCAGAATCCACTTGACCGCTTCCCAATGAGCTTTTCCTGGATTCGACATAAACCGGCTGACCACTCCCACTGCATGGCCAATGTCTGGTCTCGTACAGACCATTGCGTACATCAAACTTCCGATAGCCGAGGCGTAAGGAACCTTAGCCATACTCTCTTTCTCTTCTTCTGACTGAGGAGACTGATCCTTCGACAGACGAAAATGGCTAGCCAAGGGTGTGCTCACAGGCTTGGCGTCGCCCATGTTGAATCTCTGCAAAACACGGTTGATGTACTCCGTCTGAGATAACTGCAAGAGACCTCTCTTCTTATCTCTCGTGATTTGCATTCCAAGGATCTTCTTCGCTGGACCCAAGTCCTTCATGTCAAACTCCTTTGACAGCTGCTGCTTCAAACTCTTGATATCCTCCATATCTGCTCCTGCAACCAACATATCATCAACATACAGCAGTAGGATGATATAGCTGGACTGATATCTTTTGAAGTAGCAACAGTGGTCGGCGTTGCACTTCTGGAAACCTTCCTTGTGCATAAAACCGTCAAACTTCTTGTACCACTGTCTTGGGGCTTGTTTCAGGCCATACAAGCTCTTCTTGAGTCTGCACACCAGGTTCTTCTTCTTTTCTTCTGAGAAACCTTCTGGCTGGTGCATGTATATCTCCTCTTCTAGATCTCCGTGAAGAAACGCCGTCTTCACGTCTAACTGCTCGAGATGAAGATCTTCAATTGCTACAATACTCATCACGGTCCTGATAGTATTTAGCTTCACCACGGGAGCGAAAATATCGGTGTAGTCAATTCCTTCCTTCTGCTGGAAACCTTTGACAACCAGTCGGGCTTTATATCTTCGATCTGGAACCATCCTGCTCCTCTTTCACCCGATACACCCATTTGTTGTGGAGTGCCTTCTTACCCGTGGGCAACTCAGCTAGTTCCCACGTCTGGTTTGATATGAGAGACTTCATCTCATCTTTCATTGCAAGCTCCCACTTGCTCGCATCTCCACACTGACAAGCTTCATCAAAGCTTTCAGGCTCCCCACCATCTGTCAACAACAGATAGTTCATGTATCTCCTGTTGGGTACAGGAGGACGAGAAGATCTTCTTAATATCGGAGCTGGTGCGTCGGGCTCCTGCGCACCATCTTGTCCAACAGGCTCTTCTTGCTGAGGACCCTCTGCATTGGGTTCTTCCGAGAGGTTACTCGGGACATCATCTGCATCTATAAATGTGGACTCGCTCTCTGAGTCGTCAGTCTTGTGCATGTCCTTGTACATCACCTTCTCGTTGAATATCACATCTCTGCTCCGGATCACCTTCTTGTTTTCGTTGTCCCAAATGCGGTAGCCGAACTCATCTTCACCATAGCCGATGAAAGTGCATTTCTTTGACTTGGGATCAAGCTTATTCCTGCCTTGATCACTAATATGCACGTAAGCTACACAACCGAAAACTTTAAGATGTGAGAGTTTTACCTCCTTTCCGCACCATACCTCCTCTGGTATTCTGTGCTCCAATGGAACCGATGGACCTCGGTTGATCAAGTAAGCTGCTGTGTTGACCGCTTCTGCCCAGAACTGCTTCGGTAGGCCTGATTGTACTCGAATGCTTCTGGCTCTCTCTGTCAACGTTCGGTTCATCCGCTCAGCTACACCATTTTGCTGAGGCGTGCCGGGCACGGTTCTCTCCATTCTGATCCCGTGCTCATAGCAGAACTTCTTGAATCCGGTGTCTTCATACTCACCGCCATTGTCGGTCCTGAGCTTCTTTATTCTCAGACCGGTCTCATTCTCGACCATAGCTTTCCATCTCCTGAAAGCCTCAAATACTTCTGACTTATGCTTCAGAAAGTAGACCCACACTTTCCGAGAGTGATCATCGATAAAAGTCACGAAGTAGTGTTTTCCACCAATGGACGCGGTGGTTGTTGGTCCCCACACATCTGAGTGAACGAGCTCTAGCTTCTGCTTCCTGGGGGTTCTGCCACTTGTCTGAAAGCTGACTCTCTTCTGCTTTCCAAGTATACATTCTTCACACATATCCATCTCCACTGACTGCAGTCCTGGGAGTTTTCCCTTTGTGTGCATAATCTTCATCCCCTTTTCACTCATATGACCGAGTCTCTGGTGCCACAGCTTTGAAGTCTCATTGCCTGCTGCAACTGAGATCAAACAACGTGCACCTGCTGTCATATACAGGGTACCAGTCTTCTTGCCTCGGGCAATCGTCATTGCGCCCTTTGAGATCTTCCAATCATCTCCATGGAAGGTTGTGGTGTATCCTTCGCCAGCCAACTGGCCTACGGATATTAAATTCTTTCTCAGGTCGGGAATATGCCTGACATCCTTCAGCTCCCATACTGACCCGTTCAACTTAATTTTCACCACGCCTTTGCCCACAATAGCACATGGTTGATCATCACCAAGATATACGTATCCAAGATTTCCGGGGGTATACTTCTCGAAGAATTCTTTCTGAGAGGTAGCATGGAACGACGCTCCTGAATCTAACACCCAAGATTCCTCCTTGCTCTCCAAAGAGCATATCAATGCGTCGTCTCCTCCTGAAGTGGAGGTGACATTCACCTCTGCCTTCGCCTCCTTCTCCTTCTGTGCACTCTTGCACTGATTCTTGTAATGCCCGGTCTTTCCACAATTCCAACACTCGATAGCCTTCGAGCTGTTGCTTGGATTCCTTGATTTGGACCTCCTGTCCTTTGATCTACCTCTGAAGTTTGATTTTCCTCGTCCGTTTCCTCTGGTTGAATTTCTACCTCTTGACTCTGTATGCAATACTGAAGAGGTTGTAGCTTCACCAGTCTCTCGCCGTCGGATCTCCTCACTGAGAACCAAATCACGAACGTCGCCGAACTTCAACTTTTTCTTTCCCGATGAGCTACTCACTGCCGTGACTGTAGCGTTCCAACTCTCTGGTAGGGAAGACAACAATATCAACGCCCGAACTTCTTCATCAAACTCAATCTCAACTGAACTCAATTGGGTTGTAACCGTATTAAGTTCATTGAGGTGTTGTGCTACTGACGCGCCTTCCGCCATTTTCAGATTGAATAACCGCCGCATTAAATGAACTTTATTTGCGGCTGATGGCTTCTCATACATATTTGAGAGTGCTGCCATAAGACCTGCCGTGGTCTTCTCCTTCGCTATGTTGAACGCAACATTGCGAGTCAACGTCAATCTGATAACTCCGAGGGCTTGTCTATCTAGAAGGTTCCACTCATCTGCCTTCATAGAATCCGGCTTCTTTCCCGATAGTGGTTGATACAGATTTTTCTGATACAGATAATCCTCTATCTGCATTTTACAGAATCCGAAATCTGTTCCATCAAATTTCTCAAGTCTCATTTTTGCCTCATCTGCGGCCATGGCTCCCACTTGAATCTGACTTCCTCTAGATCGTTTCACGCTCTGATACCAGATGTTGGGAATTTAACGCCGAAATCCCTAATGCAACGGAAACGCAGAATAGAAAAAGTACACCAAGTTTTAACGAGGTTCGGCAACTGCCTACGTCCTCGGGAGCCACACAGATAATTTCTTATTAATCTAACAAGAAATTACAAATTTAAGAGCAAATCCCTAAACTGAGATTTCTCAACTGAAAAACTGTAGCTACAGTGTTAATAATTAAAGGGAATAAACCCCTTTCAAGTCTCACTTGAGATTAAATAAAACCCCTCTTTAATACTCTCTCTCCTTAATCCTTTTCTTAAACTCCCCTCAAACAATTGAGAGCTGGAGTTAAATGACGAAAAGAAAAATCGTTGCTGCGATAAAACTCACAATTGAGAGCTGGAGAAAAAGGCCCAAATCGCTGCTGCGATTTCAATGGAGAGGAAAAGAACGCTGCTGCGTTTCTGGGAGTTCCGCCGCCAGAGAAAATCGGGGAAGGGGGGAGAAGCTCAGCGCCGCACAGCTCTAAAAAACCCTAGGGCATCGGGTTTCTTATATAGGGGAAGATGACAGGCTGGCGACAACCTGTCGCCAGCGTCGAAGGGTGCGTTCGTCGGGGTCGCGTTCGTCGAGGGGTGCGTTCGTCGGGGTCGCATTCGTCGAGGGGTGCGTTCGTCGAAGATCGCGTTCGTCGAGGGGTGCGTTCGCCTGCGTCATCTGGAGCTCGTCGGAGCTCCTCGCCGGCGGAGGTTGGTTTCCACCCCCAAATCTAACAGTTGAACCATACAAAAAAGGGACTGGTCATCCAATTCAACTCATTCACAAAACAGAGGATATGAAATACGCTTCACCTGAGTGGACAATTTTGAGTATATACCATGATTCACTGCCAAAAAATGAGAGAGCTCGCGGACTGTGCACAAGGTGAACGGCGAATATGATGAGATGCTTAATTGATTCAGTTTCGAATAAACACCATTTCAATGAGAATCGCGCTCTCAGTTAGTAATCTTTGATTATTTTTGCTTCGCGTGGTGCATGCTCTTCCAACCATCCTCTTATTAAACATTTATGATTTGTTATAGGGAAAATTTTTTCCATTTTCAATTATCAACATGGTACAACAAAAGAAACCAATTGACATGGTTTAAAGCTATTGCTTCGTACCACCCCCTATATATAGCTCTGCTGAGTTCTCCACTTCTCTAGTTATCATCCGATTTGCAACAAGATTACAAGTAATGGGCTTATGCCCCCCAACTTGCACTTGTTTTGGTATGCTTGTTGTTGAAATTTCAAGCATGCAACTTCCGGCATGTTTTCATTCATGTTGGTTCAAGTGTTTCATATACCAAGTTTCTGTAAATTGAAATAATAGGTTAAAAGGACCTAGATCATAGATGGATTGCCATCTAGTAAATTGAGTTCATACTCCAAGTTTGACATATCTTTGCTAGTGCTTCAAATGCCTCTCATAGAATTATTTACATCCATATAACCAGTTTTTCTCACAACTCCAGGGACCATCCCTCGAGTCGTCCTTGACTAGAGCCAAAGAGTGTACAATCCTTGTACAGACACTCGGACTAGCAGAGGTGGTCTTGTAAGCGTTATGCTAGGTAGCAAATTATCGATACCGAAGTCATTGGATGGGAATGTGTTGCATATATATAGCAATAAGGTTAAAATCAATGAGCAGGTATCATTCTCCTAACACCAGAAAGGTAGTAGGTTAATTTGTTGACACTTCATCCTGCATTGTAAAGGATGTCAACCCCTAAAACTCAACCAAGGAAAAAGGTCGGCTTGATATCAGTCTTTAACAAGGCGAGTTCTTCCTCGTCAATTCTCTGTCGGTCAAATGCGAGCACAAACAAAGACATACAACCCTTTGCCCGCTTGTACACTACAACACAAAAAAGGCACCCAAACGAAGCTGTTCGTAGAATCGAGCTTAGAAACAATGAGATCGAGAGTTGTCCTGAGAAGGGGAAGCGGTCTAACCTTCGGTGTCCTCGAAATCGTCAGCGTCCTCTCCATACATAGCATTCAGGTACTCCACCGCCGACTTGGTGAACACCAGCTTGTCAGCATCCAGAACATCAAACAGGTTCAGGGTCCTGGGCGTCAGCATCTTCAGCGTTCCGATGTTCCTGCAGCTCAGCATCACATTATCCGAGACCTCCGTCACAAAGAAGGTGGCTTTATCCTTGGGATCCAGCCCCCACCTCCTCATCGCAGCTATGAACTCCTTGGTCCTGGGGCCCTCCTCGAACGCCTCCTCGAACTCCTCCACCACGAACGCGTCCTCGGAGGCGGCGGCGCTGGCGATGGCGGTGGAGATGGAGAGGCGCTTCTCCTTGCGGTTGATCTTGATGGACCAGTCCTTGGGCTTGGGGCCGAAGATGACCCGCCGCGGGCCGCGAGGGCGGTACGCTGGACCGCGCGCGGGCGCGGGCGGTTCTTCTTCTGCTGAAGGGCTTCTTGGCCGCCGCCGCGGAACTCGGAGCGGGTGGAGGGGGAGGCGGTGCGCGGCGGCTTTCTGGCGGTTCGGCGATGATGGCCGCGGTGGACGACGGAGCGGGCGGTGGGGGAGGGGCGGACTTGAGGGAGGGACGGCGTGGAGGTCGCGGTCGCCGGAGAAGGACGAGGACGGGGAGTTCGGCGGTGAGCTCGGGCGCGGCGTCGAGGCGGAGGATCTGGGGAGGACGAGAGGGGGTTTTGATTTTGGGGGAGGAGGGGGCCCAAGAGGAGGAAGAGGAAGAAGAGAAGAAGGAAGGGAGGTTGGGCATTTTGGTAAATAACATAGCGGGAGGAGGGGTGGGGGAGCTTTGACAGGATGAGGAGGGGAGGGCGAGATGGAGATGGAAGCGTTTATTCTGTTTTTTTTGCCAAGCCCAGCGAAGGATAGAGCAGAGAGAGACCGGGGTGTGTTTAGTCTTTTCGCGCAGCGCAAAAAAAAAAAGCGAAAAAGGTCGGGGGAATTGAAAAGGGGGAAAAGAAAAAAGGAAAAAGAAAAACGCGGGTAAAGCTCCGCGCGAGGATTGCGAGCCCGGTCACCGCGTGACGGGGGTTTGATAACTGACCTCTCCCTCTTCCGTTGCATACAGTTATTTTACCCGTAAAATTTATTTCAAAAAGAGCGGGTTTGTACATAAAATAATGATAGAGGCATACTCTCTACCATACTCTTAACCACACCATCTCTCTTACTACAGTGCACGGAGCCTACATGATATTTTTTTAAAAAATATCATGTGGGCCCCGTGTACTGTAGCAAGAGATGTGGTATGATTAAGAGTGTGGTAGAAGGTGTGCCCCTATTGCCTCCCTTGTACATATACTCTCTCTTTTGTGGACATGCAACATATAGTTTAAGTTGACCTTAATGCATCAAATCTAAACGTCTATCAAGATAAGTCAAGGCACAGTGTTAGAGTTTGGAAACTAAATATGAGTACCGGAGTACGCGCTTGATGATGTTTATGAGCAGATGGAGCTCTTTTTTAGAGGGGAAAAAAAGAAGGAAGAAATAATGAATAGGAGGAAAGAGATAAAACACTCGGTGGTTAGATAGAGTGCTATTGAGATTTGAATTTTAAAATTCTATTTATAATCAAAGACATCTTGAATTAGAATTTGAAAATTAATCCTAATCCAATAACACCTCCATTTCAAATTCAAAAATTAATCCTAAACCAATATCATCTTGTTCAAGGGTTATTTCGATATAAGAGCCTCAAATCTTGATTTGACCTTATTGTATACCGATTTTACCTTTTTTTTATGAGTACTCTTTCTAATAAGTACTTATCTCCAAATCATAATTAAGTGTTTTCATTAAAACAAAAGAACGTTGCAATCCATTGTAAATATTACTTAACTATTTATTTTCAAAAAGAAAGGTTAAGACCTATTTGAGAGGTTTTTTGTTTAAAATAAGGCTCATCCTTTTGTCACTATGTTTAAAATCAAGTAGCGAGTGAGGAAAATTTTCAATTTAATGGAAGTTCTCTAATATAATATGATTTCCGAAACAATTTGGGTGATTAGACTTTGTCTTTCTATAAGAAGTTTAAGGGTAACTTCTTAAGGAAAGAATAGAAGAAAAGTATAATTAATTTCTTGAAGATTTTTTTTATAATATGAATTGCTAACCTATATATTGGTGTATAATTAGATCGAGAGGTTCCCTTAAATTAAAGTAGAGTTGATGCCTAGAAAAAGTTTCTAATTGCCTTATCAAAGATGCAGTAGGCTTAGTTTTTAAAATTTTGATGGGTAGCTTAGTTTTTAAAAGAAACTTTTCTTAAAAATAGAATCCTAATCGTAGGAGGCTTAGATTTTCTCTTGATTCATAGATTCCGAGTCCGAGAAAGCATAGGAAAGGATTTGCCCATAAATATAATACCCCTCCCCTTGAATTCTTTATTACGATCTTATATTCTCCTCCTCCTCCTCCACCTTCTTACCGAGAAAACCTCATCTGTTTTTCCTTCTCTCTCTCATGGCTTCTATGGAGCTTGAGATAACAGTGCATAACGCCATGGAATTGAAGAATGTAAACTGGCCCAATGGAGGTCTTCTGCCGTACACAAAGGTGTTCCTGAACCGGGTGGAGACAGGGAGATACAGTGCCACAAAATCCACAGGGACCGACTTCTCCAGCTCCACGATTTCGGAATGGAACAATACGCTGGTTTTCCGTATAAAAGAGTACCACATCCCTACACTGGACGCCAACTTTCGGATCTCCCACCTCCTTCCACCGGGCCCATGCAATCATGCCTCGAAGGTCGTGGTTGGCTTTGCATCCCTTCCCTCTACCCATCTCTTCGGTAGCGGCGGCAGCGGCGTCAATTGGCTTTATGGTTATGATCAGGGGTGGACAGAAACGTGCAGCTGTTCCGGCCATCTGGGCGTCCCCAAGGCATCCTCTTCATCAAAGCTGTTCTTGTGCCCTGTCCGCAGGTTGTTACGACGAATATGCACGACGACTCCTTCTCTTATTTTGCTTCAGCGATGTATCTTCGGGGGCTGGACAATTTGCTCAAGATGAACAATCCTGATTCGACCAACTCTGATATCAACAAGTGTGGTACGATGGAGGAAGATCAGGAAAACGCGGTCAATAATATGCAAAATATGGATAATCCTGATTTTGCCAATGACGACTGTAGGATGTCTAAAAATCACAGCAGATAGCCAATCCCCATCAAACACCGATGATGGAAGTTATAATCTGACGACTTCCAGAAGATTATAATTTGAAGACTTTCACGTAGATCGATAAAGGTTACAATCTGACGATCATCGTAACAACTGATGAAAGCTCTAATCAGCAACCTTCACAATCAACATCGGGAGTTACAATCTGACGACTCTAATATTTTTAAGGAGCCAGGACGAAGATTACTGAACAATGATCTTTGCAGCGCTCTACAGAAGAAGCTATAAGTCATTAAGCTCCTTCTAAAACGCGGAATTCATCTTCGCGTTTCAGTTCTCGAAACGTAGGCGACCCCCGCGTTTCCAACCTTCAGCAAACGAAACGCAGGCGACCCCCGCGTTTCCAACCTTCAGACTCCAAAACGCGGGCGGCCCTCGCGTTTTTCAACACCCAGCGGGTACCCAACTCCGCGTCTCCAGTCTAAAACGCGGAGTTAGGGTCCTGGACGCCAAACCGAGTGCTGTTTGACTCATTCAACATGAGCTGAACGGTTCCAAAATCGTTTTCCACAATTTGGAGGCAGTTACACCCCACTTATGAGCGATTTAAGGGGTAGTTTAACCCCTTAATCCTCTATAAATAACTAAAAAACAATTCAGTTCAAGGGTTAGAGCGGAGGGGATTTAGCTCTCGGTTTTTGGTTGGCTTTTCAGATCTAGAGGGGAGCAAAGGGCATCTCCAATTCATCTTCTCTTTCGACAGCAAAGAAGAAGTCTCTCGAGCAGAGCATCGTGGAGCTTTCATATTTGGCTTGTCAAACCGATTTTCGTTTAAATCAACTCTTTTTCAAGAGTTTAAACTCGATCTGAGTTATCAACTCGTCCAAAGTTTCAAACTTGCTTTGCAAGTTCTCCACAGCGTCAATTCGTGAGGAGGAGATACCGTTCCAGTGAATCAAGACGTGTGGATCGTCAACGGAGAGCAAACTCGACGCGAGCATTCGAGAGAGGCACTCCATCGCCACTATGAAGAACCCAGAATTAAACAAAGGGGAGAATCCAGATCATTCTCCTCTCTTTTGTAATCGGAATTCAAATTGTAATTAAGATCGAGAGAATACAAATCAAATTTCTTTCATTTTACTTACTTCAAAATTTCCACCAAACAACGACGACTCTTACTTAGCTTCGCAACAGCAGCTGGGGCGGCTGTACGATGTGCAAAATACAACGAATCCTGATTCTTCCAACAACGACGACGACTTTTGTCTCGCACAACACCATCGGTGGCAATATGGCACAGATTATGTGAATAATACTGATTCTGCAAACAGCGACAATGACTTTTACATGGATTTGCAGCGGCGGCAGCAACGATATGCTATGCAAAATACGATGAATCCTGATTCATCCAACAACGTACGACTATGACATTTAGCTTGCACAGCACCAGCTATGGCAATACGGTGTGGATAATGTGAATAATTTTGACTCTGCCAACGACGAGAACGACTTTCAGCAGCAGCAACAGCAGCAGTACTATATTCATAATACGGATAGTCTTAATTCTGCCAATAGGTACAACAACAAGAACAACAACTGTTATGGGATGACCTGTGCACCAGTCGAAGCAACTATGCGGTATAATAATATGTTGGAGGAGGAAGAGGACGTGGTCAAGTACAGGCAATACTCCACAGAACCTACAACAGAAGTGGCCACTACTTCCTACTCTCATTATCAGGAGGATGATGACAGCAAACTTGATGTGCTAACTGGGGGGCCGTCGCTGATCTTTCACTTAAAGAAAGAAGGACGAGGAACGAAGAGGAGGAATGGAGGAAGATGAGGGGGGGGGGGGGGGGGTGGGGGGGCGGGGGGGGCAGGGGGGGGGGGGGGGGGGGGTGAGGGGGAGGGGGGGGAGGGGAAGGATAAAGAGGAGAGGGGGTCGAGTTGAAATGGTTGAAAGGAGAAGGAGAAGATTGAGGAGAGCACTGGGAACAGTGACATGGATAGAAAAGATATTATTATTCTGCAGACGACAACAATGACTATTACGATGTTGTGTGATTAGGGAGTTATATGCATGCATTCGGGGAATGCTTACCTTAGGGGCTCGATTTGTTTCTACCGTTAGGTTTGGGGAGGAGGAGGATAAAGAAGAGGGGGTCGAGTTGAAGGAGAAGCAAAAGACTGAGGAGAGCACTGGGAGCAGTGACATGGATAGAGAAGATTATTATTCTGTAGACGACAACAATGACGATTACGATATTGTGTGATTCGGGGAATGCTTACCTTAGGGGCTCGATTTGTTTCTACCTTTAGGTTTGGGCTTTTAGGTGCAAATGTATCTGCAGCTTTGTTATCCTTTAGATTACTTTCATATATAGTATTATGTAGTTATTACCTTCAGAGTCTTTCCATTAATTGCTAGTACTGCTAGCGTTTTTGGAGTCAAATGAAGAGTAGTATCACATATGTCTAGTTATTTTGATTGAAGCTTTACCTTGTAACCGTATATATATTTCTTGTAACCGTATATATATTGCTAGTACTGCTAGCTTTACCTTGTAACCGTATATATATTTCGAGTGTACCTTGCATGTTAGACAGCTGCTTCGAGGCTTTCATACGAGGTAAATTACACAAAACCCTTGTAGTAGCCCCCAATAACTTTCAAAATCTCACCATATCCCCAATAAGTTTTGCAGAAAACCTCCAACTTAGTTTGGATAAATTACACTAAACCCCCAATAACTTTTAAAAATGCCTTTTTATAACTGTTGTTTTTTTGTTCTAATTAATGGGGGTTGTCTGTAAAACTTAGAAACTTATTAGGGGTTTCAGCAAAATGCAAAAGTCATTGGGGGTTTAGCTCAAATTCTAATGTTACGGGGGATTTACTTCAAAACCCCAAAGTTCTTGAGGGTTTAGTGTTAAGTGACCCCTTTACTATAGCCGCACTTGAACGTGGATATACTGTGCGGTCCAAGATTTGAGAGTAGAGATCCTATCAAAGCTTTCGTGAGTTCAGCTTCCCTCATAGGGGTGCTAAACCGTATCCGATGAAATATCCGTAACCGTATCCGTTAGGATACGAATATGGTTACTCCGATGAAATATCCGTAACCGTATCCGTTAGGATACGAATATGGTTACTCAAATCTATAACCGATAGGATGTGGTTATGGATATGGTTTTGTAATGAAATATCCGTATCCGTATCCGAAATATCCGAATACATATTAGTCATACTCTTACGATAGTTTCGATTCTTAGATTATGAATTTGTGGTTAATTTTGATGATCAAGATGTCTAATCTTAACTTTTTAGTTATAATGAACTCTTTTGTATCACATGAACTATGTTTTTCTCAATATTATCTAGTTTTCTCATATCTGTTTTGTATCTGCATACATATCCGCTTATATATCGGTAACCATATCCGATTTTAACGGATATGGTTATAAATTTTTCTTACCGAGGTATATCCGTATCCGTATCCGAGATGTGTAAGCGGATATGGATATGGTAAGCATCATATCCGAGCCGTATCCGGACCGAAAGCACCCCTTCTCTCAGCACCACCTCAATAGACGAACACAGAAATTGTTGAATAAATATCTATCAGAAAACACATGAAGGATCAAGAAAGCTATGAAAAGATGCAGAACAAATAAATATACTGCTAAGGAATTACATGAGTAAGAATCTTGGCTAACAACATGCATTAAACAGAGGAAAACAAACCCAGGGTTGTACAGAAAACACTTGTGCAGTGCTTGTTAGACCTATCGAATCTGGTTAAATCATATTCAGACCGGCCTAGCTACATCAAAGCACCGCAGCAGCGTGCCAAAATTCCTAATGCACTGGGGGAATGATTTCGGTCAGGGCTACCACTAGCAGTCAGTAACAAAACTAACGAGTTCAATGACAAACGTCACGATTTCATATTAAAAGCTCTTTCAAAGGTCATTCCCTACTTTCATTAACCATGTTACAATGCTTATTACCTGATAAAAATACCAACAAGAAAGAAGAAACACGTACAAATGAAAACCCTTTACTTCCTAAGAAACCAGTCAGGGACTCAGAGATCAAGCCTGTGACTGTGAGTAGACATTGAGTGCTGATTCATCAAAGGAAAAGATTTCATCAGTCATCATCATCAGTTAGAAATGATTGCTTAAACTCAGGATCCATGATAACCCCATTCATTAGATGCACAATGATCTCACCCTTCCTCATGTTAACCCTTTCGGACTTGACATTGTTAACAAACAGGGTTCCACTATGAGACTTCCAAGCATATAATCTGTATCCAGACACGGAATCAAAACTCATCTCCTTAAGCACAGCTACTGCTTCAGAAGGTAAGTGTCGAGGAATCGCAGAAAAGCCCATCACGCGCGAGAGAATTGCAAATGTATTATTCACTTTGTCTCTAACTAGGCTGTCATTTGGTCTCAAATTCAGCACATGCTCAAAAGCTTCTTCTGAAGGGGTAAAAATTGTGAAAGGCAGATCATCAGGTAACATTGCCACAATCAATTTGCCAAGTTCCCCTAGTTCTAGCTCCCTTGAACTCGTCCTTCTAATTAATTTCCTATATGTTCCCTCGCCAAAACCACCTGGTGATACCTCCGGAAGCCTCATATTAAGCAGAAGCAAGAGACATACAACAAGCACGCATAGGAATAATAACATAAACAAACTTCTCCGAGGATCACCCCTTCTCAGTTTCTTCCAATCCTCCATCAGTTGTGCAATCTAATAATACAGATAAAAAAAAACTGGTTCTCAAGTTAATTACGCAAAACAATCAGCAATTCTCCACCGCGACTAATGACAGTGTCCAAGAATTCTGTTACTTTTTCCTCTTGCTGAAACGGATTTGGTTTTGCAAGATCACTGTCCAAGTTATACCAGACGCCAGAAATCCTCCGCAATGTGATCCAATGCCTACCTCGCCAAAGTCCTGCGAACTTTCTTACTGGAATGTTAAGCATAATACCGAGTAAAGTTTCGTCTGCAAGGTTGATGGAAGAAGCTCCATTGCGACGATCATGCCAGACTACTCTATAACTCCTACTCTCTAGTGCTGCAATGAGTACATTGACGTCATAGTTTCCAGTCAAAACGTTATGATGGGGCTTCCAGACAAGCGACAGTGGGGTCCATCTATCCCTACTAGGATCGTCAATAACAAGTTTGTCAGCAATGGTATCCAACTCAGCTCGGGTGAATGAACCCTTCTCCTGATCATAATTAAACAAGTACTTTACCTCTTAATCCATATTGAAAAAACATATGAGTTACTTAATTATGGGGATTGGATAGCTAGCCAAGAGGTGATATAAGAATAATAATAACAGAGAACCAATAAGTCAAAGTTGTAATAAAAATGAATTCGTTGCTGGCTTATACCGATGATAATAATAACAGAGAACCAATAAGTCAAAGTTGTAATAAAAATGAATTCGTTGCTGGCTTATACCGATGGCAAACGTTCATAAGTAGATAAGTCAAAGTTGTAATAAAAATGAATTCGTTGCTGGCTTATACCGATGGCAAACGTTCATAAGTAGACCACAAACCTGTTTGGCAGTCTACTCATTACCACACGTGTAATTATTCAAAAAAGAACAAATACCAGTTGACGCACACACCAATCACCAATTGTCCATGTGTAAATTTCTTATTTCTGCTTATCGTTGATTTATTTGGGTAGACACGCATGGTGTTAGCTCGCTTGATTCACCCAGGAATAGTTAAAGTATACGGTGGGAGGGGGGAAAAGTATACACCTGGAGAAGATTGTTAAGTGAATGCAGCAGGCAGAACTGTAATCTCTGCTTCTCATGATAGACTTGTTCGACCTCCATAGCCTCCGACTAACTCTGTAAGAGGTAAGGTTCAATTCCCCCAACTCCGAACACTGGGAAAACAAATGGAAGGCAGAGCGTTGGTTTCTATCGATTGTATGATTAGAGTACAATTAAGTTTTCTTTTAATTATATATATATTTTTTTGTAGGCAATTCAAGTGGTAATCAAATTCAAAATAACATCCATTCACTTACATATATGCCATGTTAATTACAAAATCCTAATAATAGAAGCATTAAGAGACCTAGGAACCCTAATTAAAAAAAATTTATCATTCTAGATTCAACTAATATGGTCGATAAGGGTCGTACACTGGCAAGGGATCACGCGTAACGATGGGCGGATCTCTCCCTAGTAATCGAATATTACCGAGTTGAAATGGGTTTCAAGTTCTAATTAGGTTTTCAGTTAATAACAAAAGAACAAAAGAAAAGGTGGGGGTAATCTGATGAGATTCGCTTACCAATAGCTTATTGGGTAAGAGGACTTGAGGGACACAGAAGCGGCAGCGGGAACGTCGAAAGGATTTGACGGCGGTGAGAAAATCCGTCGGTGAGGGGTATCGAGGGGAGAAATATCAGGGATTTTTGACGGAAATTAGGTATCGAGGTGGGAAAATAAGGAGGAGGAGGAGGAGAATAGTAGTAACGATGAAGCGACCCGCAGCTCCACGTGGAGATAGCGAGCGATAGAGGGCGGGTCCGGATGTTCGGCGGGGATCCACGATGGCTAGCTTTTGTTCGGCCCATTTCGAGCCCAAAATGAAAATGTAAATAGACGCTGTAGCGAACACTCGCTAGAACTTGGAAGTGCGTATTAGTTAAGTTTAGTTTATTCGATCTTCGCAATCTACTGGAGTAAAGCCTGCAAACCTTTTATAACCTACGAATCTCCGATTATTGCCCTGTTAAATCGCGTCTTGCTGACGCAGCAGTCTTGACCGTAATCAATAAAAACGTAGTGAATGATTGGTGTTGAAGGCCAGAAGACTAAATTTGTGGTTAATTGAGTTTTTTGTTTATTAGACACGAAATTGTATTCGTCTCTGAACTTGTATTTAAGCCAATGACGGCTGAAATCGTACGTCATTAGACACATTTTCGCCGTCCCTTTTTTAAAAGCCAATGTGACGCTATTTACATAGGTTGCTGCTGCTGCTTTTTTTTTTTTTTTTTTTTTTACTGAAAAGTATTTAGGGGGAGGGGGTTTGTGTGTGTATATACGTGAATTTGCGTCCGTCCTAAAAAGAATAGGAAGGTTATAATGAGAGAGGCAGAGAGGGGAGGTCCAGTTCCAAGTGTTATCCATCAAAAGTATCGCCCGTAGCTCATCTTTGTTTTGCCTTTCGCTCTTCAGATTCTCTTCTTATTCTTCTTCTTCTGCCCAGTGATATTCTCTTTAGCTTTCCCTTTCTTGGTTTGCTTCAACGAGTCCTTCACTGTTAATACGCCCCCTCGTACCCCCCGATTCACGATGTTTGATTCCCCCCAGTCGGGTTTTTTTATATATATATATATATGTGTGATGGTCAAAAGAACTTGCATTTCTTTCTGGGATATAGCCAAATGCGTATCTGTTCGTTCAATCAGCAAGCAACACCAACTTTAACTTTACCTTTCTCTTTCATTTTCTCGACTGATCTTCCCCTTTGCTTCACCATAAATACATACATACATACATTAATCCAACCATCTTGTCTCCGCTTTTTTTAAATTTAAAAAAAAATGCAGAGAATGGAGAGCAGGAGGAGAGTCGGCTTCAGCCCTGACCTCAGCGACAAGCCGGTGGTCTCTCTGAGGTCCTGCATTGATGCAAGCCCCCCCGAGACAAGGAGAAGCAAGCGGAGAAACAGGAAGCAAATCTCTATCAGATTATTTCACTTCGTCAGGAGCAACGTAGCGAGGGCGCTTCGGAGGGTGTCCAAGGGGCGAACAGCAGCTTCGGCCGCCAAAGGCTCCTCCTCAAACATGGTCGTTCCTCAGCACTACTTCATCCCTCACAGAGACTCCCATCATTCAGAGGCCATGGAAGACTGCATCAAGTTCATCAACTCCTCTTCCGGGAAATCTATATAGGCTCGCTCACAATTTATGCCCACTGAACGTGTAGAATTATATGTTGCCTCTTAAAACACTCGATAGCTTTCCTACAACTTTGTTACACCTCCATTTATCGGAGACAGTGAATCAACGGTTTTTTTTTGTTACATCCTTCTCGTTTGATGCATCAACCTCCCTCAAATACTCCGAACCTGTTTTTAAGAAAAGGAACACAGGTCTCACTTCGAATTCCTCAATATCAAGTAACATAATCAGGAACAGACTCTCGGTTGTTGGAATGCACACCTTTGAAAAATACCAGAATCAGGCTAACCTTGGGGGGCAAAAAAGGACAGAATCAGGCTTACATAAAAAAAAACAGACATTGTGGGTGAGTGACATTGCCTATCGCTCGACTCTGAAAGCAACAGCACGTAAAATCAATTAAATCAGAAAGGAAGTACATAAGTTGGGAAGTAACGGAGAGCTTATTTACCTCCTCCATCCATACTGTGATGAGAAGCCTTCTTCGGATCTAGCGACCTGTAAGAGGTTCATAATTAGTCCAATTCATTCAAATATCTTCTGATCATCCATCTTTTTACCAAGCAATTAATCACATGGTCAATTTCATGCTCATCTGTTTTCCATAAAACCAACCAAGGAACCCAATGTCATCCAGCTATGGGTTGTGGGTTTAAGACTTAAAAGTCTGCAAAATGAAAAAAAAATAGTAGTTCCAGCAGATATGAAAACAGTTGTCAAGAATAAGTTGTCAGCAATATTTCAAGTGATCAATCTTAAACAACGAACAAAGCACTGCCCACCCTCTGCACCCCTGAGGAAATAAGCTGGCCTAAACAAATGACAGAACTAGACAATGTCGAAGCTGACAAACATATTAACTGAAATATAAAATAAGCATAGCAGGCAAGATGGTGAAATAAGATCATCTTTCTTCAATTCAACCAGCATTTCCTTTCCCTTTTCCGACATCACACCATCTTTCACTATTCATCAGTACTTGATAAAAATAATAATCATCTAACACATGTATTACATCGCCAATTGTCCACCTCCTAAGAAAATAAATAGCTAACAACAAGATCTCCAGCTATGAGGATAGCAAGAGGGGGAAATTAAGACTGAAGTTCATTAGAGACCCCCTGCTCTCCTCATCCTTTGTGATCAACAGCCAATGCCACCTTGTAACTCTGGAACTATTGTGGCGACCACTGACCTCAAACTGGCATAGCGGGAATCAAAGCCAAGAACGATTAACTTAACTTCCTGCTGTAGCAGGTGAAGGCATAGGCTTCGCGTCCTCAGCTTTCTCATGTTCCTTGTTTAACATCTGGTAATGCACATAACGCAAAATAAATATCATCTACGGAAAATAGTTCAAAAAAAAATAATAATAATAAACTATAATGACCAAACAAGATGCCCAGTCCAAGACATTGGCAGTTGATCACTAAAGTAATTTGCTTGTTTGGAACATGATTACCACAAAATATGCAAGGCTTAAACACCAAGTACAAAAAAGGATTAATTTTATTAGAGAAGCCATATTTTTTTCTGCCTATAATTTAAAGACCACATGCTATAGGATACATGAAGTAACGCACAAGTAAAGAACTTACTTTATTATTTATCAAGTTGTGAAGTGCAATGACACTCCGTATGAGAGAAGAAAGGTAAATCACTAGCATCATGTCATTCGTTTTCACTGCAAAATACAAAGCGTCACGACATAAAAAGATATTTAACTGCAAAAAGAACAAATACACAAGTTTCCTTTCATGTTTTAGCCAAATTAACAGCATTACCTGAGAAAGCCTTGATTAGTTCGCTCACATTAAGGTTTGGAAGTAGATTAAATACATCCTGCATCAAAAATAGGAAGCAAAAAACGTTTCAATATCAAAACAGAAAATAAGCAGCGAAGTTGAAAGGATAAGAAAATTTTAAGAGCAGAAAAAAAAGTGCATTAACCATTGCCCTGTGATCTTGCATGTAGTTAAGTTTGGAGCAAAATAAAGGTTTTATGCCAAAAGTTATGACAGCAACAGAAAATTAACAAAAGAAAGGAATGGAAAAAAAAAATATAAGAAAGCCCTAATACGCACTCCACTCTCAATCAAGGTACTGTTCTACATGGATCAAAAAGCATATACATTACTTTAAATAAAAGAACACTTAATTCAATCAGAGATTCAAGGAAACTACTTGGAGACGTTTGAGAGAAAAACAGCAGCTGCTAGGCACTTCATCAAAAAAAGAGGAATAAAACAACATCCCTCCCTCGTTCTCATAATAACTGAACAAATCTCTAAAGTATAAATGGCAATTTGCTAGTAAATGACCAACTCTGCCAAGGGAAAAAAAGGGAAATAGTATTACTTTTTTACAATTTTGAATTGGAAAACACCAGACAGAGTGAGGAAGGCCTAGGGTTGACATTACATTCAAGTAAATCAGCTAAACAATGCAAACTAGACATGACCAGATAATCGCAAAAATGGGTACAAAAAAAATCTTACTAGAATAAAATTATATATTTAAAATAAAATACAATTTTTGCTGTCACATAGAGCAAGAAGAATGTTGATCAGTGTTCTCAAAGGAAGGTGAGGCGACCAAACATAAAGGTGGAAACAATCACCAGAAGACAGGACTTCAGGTTTAGCTGATGTTACAAAAGCAACATGTATCTCAGGTGAGCAGTAGAAGCTGCAACATGAACCATCTATTCAGACATTTAGCATTTCATAAATCCAAGCACCACAAAAATAGTATTTCATAAATCCAAAACTACAGAGAATTCAAACTGGGACCTCAAGCATTACACCACAAACCCAGTCAAGAAATGATGTAATCAACCCTGAAGTGCAATGTTGCATGAGTTGGAACCCATGAACTATTAACAAGCTTTGCATGTAAACAAATCATGAAACCATTGTAAAAAAAAAAAAGCAATAGTATTAGCATTCTAAAAAATGATCTACTCCGAAAATGTATACAAGCAATTAAAGAATAAAACAACTTCACAAGATTGCTAGTATTTAGAATAATAAATTAAATTGATGGAAACACTTAATTACAATCCAGAACCTAAGATCATTAGGGAATTAAAACTCAAAAGAGAATACCAGAAAACCAATGACTACCTGCAAGTGGTACAGAATCTCATGATTTAAGGGAAGTTTTCCTTCGATAACAAGATCAAGATAGGACCGTATCTCGCGAAGTCTTGCATCCAGACCTTTCAAGGCTGCAAGTTTACCAGTAACCTGTCGAGAAAAGAGAGTTACAAGTCTGAAAACAGGAATTATAAAATATGTTTAACAAATTACCAAGAGAAATATAAAAAATAGAACTAGCATATGGAAAGATACCTCTGTTGCAAGAGTACTAATGGTTGTATCCTTGACATCTCTCAGCAAATGTTCAACTCCTATATAAAATGAAACATGTTCATGGTGAATATATTAATAGGTATAACCTATCAAATGTACCCATAAACACAAAAAAGATCGCCTATAAATTGTGCAACCAAATATAGAAAAAGACAGAATAATTATGCGAACCCATTTTATAAGGAAAAAGTAGAGTTATAAAATCTAATACAGAGGGGTGAAAGCATCTTGGATATACCAATTTCCTCGACTTCATGAGCAGCAATTTCTGAAGGTACATGCACAAACACCTTCTGACTTTTCTGAGTGGCATTCTGTAATCATATTCACATTTCAATTTGGGATCACAAACCAGCTGCAACATACTATTGATCACCTCAAATAGTTTCAATTTAACAACTTACCTCTTTGACCTCTTCAACAGCATAGTATGCTTTTGTAGGTATACCAAGCTCTTTAGGTTGGACGTCAATAATAACCAAAACAGGATTAGGAACATAACTGCAATATCAGAGATGCACATCAATTTGCAGAAGTAAGCAATCCATATGCTCAAACAAACATAATATATGCAAACAGACAGCTATATTGGGAATTAATATTTCCCTCCTTACATGTAAGGTGAGAGAGAGAGAGAGAGAGAGAGAGAGAGAGAGAGAGAGAGAGAGATTGGGGAAAAGTTCCTCTAAATATGCTGGACGTGGCATCCGTTGAACTAGTACATACACACACTCTCCCCCAAGTGTCCTCAAACCCCTACTTAACTATAGCGGGAGATTTTGGGACCAAAAGAGCATCATATGTCATAGTCCCAAAAATATAGTGAGACAAATAAATATCACGAGCTCAGCACAATCACCACAAAGAACAGCTTATTTCGTTCCTACAGAATGATAATAGACTTAACAGAAGCACGGAGCTGACACTTAACCAAATATTAGTAACACCAAGGACCCATTAATAATTGTCAAAATTTGACTTTTAGCTGTTATAAACTGTATTAATAAGGGAAGACTGATTTTAAAAAAGTTGGAAAAGGAACCTCCTGATGCAAAATAAATTCAAGTTCTGCCTTGGATATTGCAAAGGAAAAATGAGTGTGAAATTCATATTTTTTGCTTTTTTACACTTTGCTTTTTATTTTTTCGTGTACTTGCAGATAGTATAGCTTGTGTACCTGTGTTTTTGCATGAAGGGAGATTTTTGTAATTTGTAAGTTGAGAAGGTTTTTTTTTGTTGCCTTCTCAATTGAACATTTTCTTCTCCCTCCGGACTGTTTACTTTTACCTCAGTAACATCGTAGAGCTTTGGAGTTCATGTTGGGCGCATGGTTTTAATGCTTAATGCAAATGTACAACTGTTGTTGATTACTATAAGTACTTTACACTGAATGACCAAGCGTCTCTTCAGTAACGACCCGATAAAATTTGTAATGGCACTAAGTGACCCATCAGGTAACCCGTTTAAATATACGAGTTGATGGGCTAACCCGATTATTAAACGGTCCAGGTCGGATCAAAGGTTATTTGGATCGCGTCAATTTTAACCGACCCGACCTGTTTGCCACCGCTACTGATACGCAATTGCACAGATATGAGAAGGGGAAATAAAAAGAAAAACTGAATGAAGTAGGTTTCTAAATGCACCACCGCAACATTGAGATTAGACACGAGACAAGCAAGCATTTTCTATATCAACATACTGAGTGATCAGTTCACAGCATGTCAGAGAGGATTTTACTTTCAAAAGAATATTGAAAAAAGTAGATGCGGATGCATTGGAGAAACAAACTTCTGTAAAGACAGACATGATTTTCTTGCTAAGACTACTATAGTTTTCTTACACAAGGGAAAAGGAATCAATAAAATCACAAACTTACTCGGTGAACAACGCATGCACATCCAAATCATTCTCCCGAAGTTTAGGACCTGTGCTGTACCAACCAACAACATGCTCCTTTGCTGAAACGAAGATGTTGTTTTTAGCAGCACAATAGCATTTCATAAAAACGGCAACTAAAGATGGCTGGTAATAACAAACCAGGTTACTAAAATGTACCATTTATTCTTTTAAACATGGAAAACATTGACTCATGGTAATTGTGGTCGAGGAACCAGATGCTCGGATCTTTCTCATCTTCTTCGAAAGGCACTGCATAAATTGGCGGAAAGAATTAAAAAAAAAAGACTTGCTACCGACATGTAAGATGCAAGATTAGATTATAGAACAGAAGATCGTTAGAATTGAAGAGAACAAGGGCAAAAATAAGTTATAATTTAGTTTTAGCCCTGAGATAATTTAGCTTGAGGGCACAGTGCAAAGGAACTTGAGGAGAAGTATTATCAGATTAAGGTTGTGAAACTCCCTCCTCCGAATGCTTTGCTGCCTATTTTATGCTATGCTTCATTTATGACCTTTTTTTTTTGTTCATTTGTTGAGTGGGGTGGTCAATAAGCAGATCAGTCACCGAGTTTAATACAAATCTTGTCAAGTAACGATTCTCTGCACTTGGATACCGAAAACATAGTTACTCACTGAAAAAATATTTCATATCGTTACTTTTATTTAACACCTCAAGCAACAATTTATCCTCCTTCATCAAAAAGCAAAATTGCATCCTCGAGGAGGACGCCGATGACACGCTTGCGGGTGTCACGAGCAACGCGATTGTAGTTGTCGACGATGCTGAGGAGGACGAGGGGGTGGACGATCACCTTCTCGATCGGACGACTAGATATCTGCTGCGTCTTTATCACATCCATCCTTTTTTATCTTCGATCAGCCCCCCCACTTCTTCAATTTCAAGTTTTTGTTTTTAATAAAAAAAACCCTAGATTAGATTATTTTATTTAAAATAAAATAAAAACTTTTGATGCTGGCTCCTATAATTTTGAGACGGTACCCATCCAGGGGATTATTAGGGTTAGATCGCGTCAAGGTACCTGCTGCCGCTTTTAGTCGAGGTTGAGGAAGGGGGAAGAGAGAGAGAGAGAGAGAGAGAGAGAGAGAGAGGGATCTCGAACTGTTTAGGGCTCTCAGACTCGGAGGAAAAGAACTACACAGCGAATATTGGACCCGGGTTGTCGAATCCGATAGGCTTATTTAGTAGCAGTCCCTCGTATCATATCTTCAAAATTCCGTATAAGTTCCTCAAATCTTTAGAATTGCTCGTTGACGCCTCAAATCTTAAACATCTTGCCAATTAATCCCTCAATTTACCAAAACACCCTCCCCTCTTGGTCAAAGATTAATTTATCATGTTGCTCAAAGAGTACTCAGGAAAGTTAATGAGCTAAAAAAGTGAGGTAATGCTCTTCAACTGAACAGCAAAGGGCGATTGGTATGGAATCAATGTCGGTTATGATGCTCACCGGAGGCAGGGTGGATAAGGAGCTGCGGTGGGAGGTGTGTTTAGGGATTTTGGGTAGAGAAGAAAGAGGAAAATGTGCATGGGTTGCAAGGTCACTTCGCATTTGATGTACTAATATATAGTAAAAAAAATACTAATTATGCTTACGAGTTCGGAAAAAGTTTTCATGGTCAACATTATTCTTTACTATTTTAAATATTTCATTTAAATTTTAATATATTCTAATCATAATTATATCATATCATTCTCCTACGTGAACTATCTATAGCTCGGTAATTTTAAAAAATAATAAAATATATAAAACATATTTACGGTGTTAGTTTGTTAAGGTTAAGAAACTATACTTATCAACATGCTATAATACATGAAGTAATACAAAAAGATCTAAAAAGTTTTAAAATTGCACAAAAAACAAGCACAGTTCAAAATTATAAAAAAAACATCCTCACATTTCAAATCTTAAAACAACAAATATGAAATCAAGAAATTAACAGCAGCTTGTAAAAAAATTTAAAATTTACAGTTAACACCCTCAAATGTCTCACAATTTATAGAAACACCCTAAAAATTTTAAATTACAAACAAGCACCCTAAAATTCTAAAATTTTAAAACTTGTAAATAATATAGATGGATTCAAGTGATTACCATAATGCGCCTGAAAATTTCTGATGTTTCATAACTTAAAGCAATAAATATAAAATTAAAAAATTAACATTAGCCTCCAAATAATTTGAACTTTGAAATTAGCACCTCAACGTCTCAAAAATTATAAAAAAACACCCTAAAGTTTTAAAATTTAAAACTTACAAGGAACATAGATGAATTCAAGTGATTACTACTAGGCACTAAAAATTTAAAAGTTGCCAAAATTAATCTCAAAGTTACAAAAATTACAAAAAAAAAACTCCTTCAAAAGTTAAAAATCACAAAAAACTCTAAAATTTTAAAAATTATAATTAGTATACATATATATATCCAACTTAAAATAATCAAGTTAAGGTTTACCATCTTACCATCTCTTTTCAGCATCTAAAAATAATCTAAGTTTGATACTAGTAAAAAAAACAATAAGAATTGATTAAAATCGTCTAGTTAAGGAATAAAAAATTGAAAAATATATGACAGCTTAAAAATTATCGTCACTATATAAATCAAAGTAGCTACATATAATTTTACTACTAAGTTAGAGCAGCAAAAATGCATGAGTGTCTATAATATAATAGCTTAGCATTAATTAATTATAATTTAGAAACATTAATCTCTAATATTAATAATATTTATAAGATAAAAGAATACAATAAAATACGTACAGATAAACTATCATAATGTTCAAATATATCCTTTAAAAGAATCAAGCTATTTTCATTCAAATGGAAAATTGAATAAAATATATCTAATTCAGTCCATGAATCACTTGAATTGACATTAAGATAAGGCATATCTATAAAAAAAACACTGACTAAGTTCCATTAAAGAATAATCAAACAACTTTATTCCAACCAAAGAAGAATTCTCCATGGAATATATAAGAAAAATTAGCAAGCATTTATAAATATCATACTTTTTTCTTCAAATACTAAGAAAATTAAATATTAATATTATAATCTAAAGCAAACTGGTAATAAAAATTGTAGGTATTTAATTCAGATCTTTATGGAAAATGACAGGGATAGAGTGAAGGTAACATTATTAAGATAACAAAAACTCTTATTGGATACACATCACAAAAATCCATTGTAGAGAAAAAAGAGAGAACTCCCAATCTTATTTAAGTATTAAATTAGGAACACAAAGAATTTATATATATGAAATTAACATTTATTCTCATTGAATAAAAGGAATCAAAGTATGTATTTCAAAAAGTTTGTGTTGAGCATCGAAAATACCATCAACTTCTTTGTGAAGTTAAACGAGAAGATAAAAGATTAATGAGTCTAGAAAAGATAAGAGCACAAAAAATTCGACTCCAGTTTGATGTCACAATCGATGTAAATGATGAAGACGCTACTCTAGAATTGCCTAAGGAAAAAATAAAGATGAAGAATGATTGACCTCAGCTCAATAAAAAAATAAAACAGATGGAATAAAAGGCAATATTTTCTGAATGTTTTATAGAATAGTTTAATTGTTTTGAGCGAAATTAGGAATCTTTAGAAGTGATTTTCATGAACTTTTTTAATACTTTTATATGATTTTGTGGATACTTTTATCATATAAAAGTATACTAGAGTTAGCATTTATCTTTAGTTTATAATTTTTTTATGAAGTATATCAATGATTAGGAACAAAATTCATATTCTCTTTTGTACCGTTTTAGCATACTTTTAATCAATCATCTTGCATTATTGGTTTTAAATATTCACCTTCCTTGTATATCACTATTTCAATATTTTTCGATTTTGCAACATTGTATTTTCTCAAGTAAAGCTTGTTTCATGTTGGTCCAAATAATATGAAAATTCAAATTGATTTCAGATTATATTTGTTTCCTATCAATTCAATTATCAACATAAAAATTTAAATTTGGTGTAGCCCATTCAAACAAGCATCAAAGAAAATAATTAATCTCAATGTCAAAATTTAGAGATAAAAGTGAGCAAAAACTATTGAAGTGAAATCAAAAAATAAATTTTAGTTAGAAAATAAGCCAAAAATACTTAATCATGGTATTTCACTACGTGCATTACACGTGTAAAAACTAGTTCAATAAAACATACTAGTTACCTGTTAAAAAAATTAGGCTTTGTTTGGATTTACACCTAATAAAGAAAAATTAAAGGACCATAGGATAAGATAAGGGAAGGTAAGAGAATATGTAAAACTTATCTAGTAAATTAGTAAGAGGAATTAAGGGTAACTTACCCTGTTTAAAAAGTCTACTAAATGATGTGAAGGTAAAGGAATATATGTAAATTTATACAAATACCTTATATGTTATTTCATCCCTTTCAATCTCATCTTATAAAATAGGAGGGTAAAATTATCTGTGCAGTATTTTCTTATATTAAGAGTTACATTTCCCTAACTTCCCATCTATTCACCCCAATTTAGGGACTAACAAAATCTGAAGTTTCCCCCCTACATTACCTTAACTTTCCCCTCGTTAGCTACCTCAAATGACTTCTCAAACATCAGGGTAACGTGTCTCCTCTCTTCCCATTACTCACATTACTCACTATCCAAATAAGCTCTTAGACAGTCAACCAACCCGAGGTGGTGGCGCCGCCGGCTAGCGCGTAGGTCTCATGGCTT